TACTCAAAGATATCGTAACCGGATAAGAGTTCTCTTCAACTGGCTATGGCGGCTCTGCGCCCACACAACTCACTGTTCGCACTCTGGATCACCCTGGATGTCCCACACGCAACACTCAGTGCTCATACGCAACACACACACACACTGTACTACAGCTATGGCAGCGCTAGCTGCCACTACCCTATCGCTATACTACACTTCACTGCCCACTTCGACTTCGGGCCCACTGCAGACCTCCTCGCACAAGCTGCTGAGGCAGCGTTTCCACATGGCATCCGCAGGAATGAATGAATGGCTGGACGCAGCCTCTTGATTTATACTTCTGTGCGGCGTTGGTCTGCCCTGTATCCCTTGGCCCACGATGTGCACAGTCCCAGACRGTACTTGCTTGACTGGACCGGAMTGGGCTACCTGGGACTGCTGACTCTGCGTAGTGGACCTAYACCACTTGCCCACTTGCCTCGGCCTAAACAGGGGCTGACTCCGAAAGGCCAGTTCTAGAAACCTCTACTTGGCCTTTCGGTACTGTAGCAGCTACGACTTTGGCCTTTCGGTACTGTAGCAGCTACGACTTTGCCCTTTCAGGTAAGTAGCAGCTACGACCTTGACCCTTCAGACATCCTACAGCTACGACTTCGGAACTGTCTAGACTCTTACCCTACAAGTCTACAGTTCGATTCCCTTCTAAGCTGTGACSTACGAAAACCTGCYTACCACTGGCGGTCCTACAGGTCGCGGGTTCAAGCCTACGGGTTGACACTGATACTATACACAGGTAAGACGGGGAACTAGGGATCGAGCCCTGGGATCTGCATTCGCTACTGCGAACTGGTGAATACCGTTTCACCAATCTGTAGAGTGCACTTCTTACTAACATATTGTAAAAAAAAAAACGAAAAAAATAAAAACAAAAACATATAAAACAGCAAGCCAAAAGTGCACTTTCATGAAATTTCACCAACATTTCAATTTGTCGATTTTCACAATTTTCAGCACTGCCCAAAACAACGATCTCCAGGAACCCAACAAACACCAAGGGGTGAAAAGTGAGGGTACCTGTTAACCATTTGTGTAAGAAAGCGTGAGCTGTTATTAGTACTTATTAGTACTTATTACCACATTATGAAGTTGACGATTTCGAGTCTTTCGAGTCCTTTTCGACCAAGAATTTGATTTCCTGGCTGTGCTAATTCCATGCGATTTAGTACAGAGAAGCATGACGTGCCCATTACTCCAGCAATTGCACCACAGATTCAGATCCCCGTCCCACGCCAAGGCATTGCAAATTGAGTAGCAGAATGTAAATTTCTTACGGAAGGGAATGACGCGATTACCTGCATTGTTTCCAGGGACAAATCGTCAAATATTACGGAGGGAAAGACGTGACTACCTACATTGTTTCCAGCGATAAATCGTCGAGGAGCATGGATGCTTCAGTGTCATATTCCTCGTTATCAGGGATACTGATGACAGCGTGTGCTTTCATTTTCTGCGCCACACTCCTGCTCTCCACCTTTGCTCCACGTTTACGACGCAGCCTCCTCTCGTCCTGCATAGTCAAATGACTCGAATCCATTACCCCATCACATAACTCAAGTGCAACGACATGGGAAAGAATCAATCAAAAACAAAACAAAACATGGGGAGGGGGGAGAGCGGAGAGGGGAGGCGAGGGAATGGACGAAAGGCACCCCAACGGAAAAAAGAAACAAAAAAGAAGATAAGCAGAAGCTCCAGGAAAGATCAATAAGTCTGCAGGAGGCAGGTGAGGGGAAGCGAAGGCAAACAGAAGCAGAAGGGAGTGGCAGAGTCCATCAAACACAAACTTCATGCGTGTATCACAAAAAGGCAGAAAAAGTATATATAAAAAAAAAAGCAAGAGAAAAAACAAAGAAAAGAAAAAGCAGAAAAAACAAAAAAAATAGAGAAAAAAATGTAAGGTGCTGCACAAAAAGGGAAAACACAAATGCCCACAGCCAGGAAGATGGACAGACGGCAGGAGAGAGAGCCATTCAAAAGCAGTAGCTCCTCCATCAGACAGGTGGGGAAAGTCGCATGTGGAAAAAAAAAA